GTGGACGAGTGAACATCCTCAGATCTCCTTTTTTTGACGTTGGTTTTGATTTCGACGACACCGTCGAAGAGTATTTGGACCGGATCCTACCCGCTTTAGTGGAGTCCATAGACGATCATTTCTCCATCTACACTTGGATCATCGAAGGGCCTCGCTACACCACCTCCACGTCCAGCACCATCCTCTTCTTCCCTACGGATCTACAGCATCGTCGTCCTCGGAGTGGTTTCGTCACTAGCATGTTTCTTCTTCTCCCAACGAACCTAGAGGTAGATGAATGAGTGTGGCCTCAAGGTGAGTCAATCACTTTGTTAACCGCCGGATTCTTGTTGACCATTCATTTCCATTACTTTATTGAAGTTGTTATTTTATTGAACTTGTAAGCTTAGTTGAAGTTTCTTGCCGAGACGTTGTTAACTTCTAAGATTTCCATTGAATCGTCAAATTAGCAAAGCTTGGAATTGTACTATCAATACTTTAAAGAACTTTTATTAATTTTACAAGAAACAATCCCTGGTTTCACATCAAAAACTTGTGTTTTATATTTTTTTGCAGGGCGTTTTCATTAATCCTGCCTTCATTGAACCATTTGGACTCACACTGATAGAGGTTGGTTCCTGTATTTATGAAATATCCCTGGTGGAAGATTTTCTTTGTTCCACCTGATTTTCGTTCCTCAATGGAGGAAATCTTAGTAATATTGTTATTATTTGAGCAGGCTGCAGCACACGGTCTGCCTATTGTAGCCACAAAAAATGGAGGTCCGGTGGATATTATTCGGGTTCGAGTCATTCCATCACAGCTTTCAATAGATGCTTAAAAAGTTATCAAATCTCAATTGTTGTCCAATCAGAATATACTTCATGCTGCTTTTTCAATTGTTTACGCATGTATTGCTCCAGGTACTTGACAACGGAATATTAGTTGATCCACATGATCAGGACAGTATTTCTTCGGCACTTTATAAGCTTGTTTCTGATAAGCAACTTTGGGCTCGGTGTCGGCAAAATGGATTGAAAAACATCCACCTTTTTTCTTGGCCAGAGCATTGCAAGACATACTTGTCTCGAATAGCTAGTTGCAAGCCAAGGCATCCTCAATGGAAAAGGAGTGAAGATGTGCTTGAAAATTCGGACTCAGAATCTCCAGGTGATTCTCTACGGGATATTCAGGACATATCGCTGAACCTAAAGCTTTCAATAGAAGGTGATAAAACTGAAGAGAGTGGTAACCTGGATGCTTTGGATTCTGAAGAAAGCATTGCTGATAGAAAGACCAAATGGGAAAAGGCGGTCCTAAAATTGTCCAAAGGCGTTAGTAAAGTAACTCATAAGGCTGGATCTGGTGAGAAACACGATCAGAGCAGCAGTGCTAGCAAGTTACCTGCATTGAGGAGGAGGAAAAACATTTTTGTCATTGCTGTTGACTTTGATTCTGAGACAAGTGTTATTGAAATTATTCTTAAGATATTTGAGGCTGTACATAAGGAGAGGATATCTGGATCTATTGGGTTTGTACTATCAACAGCATTGACAATTTCGGAGATTTATTCCCTTCTGATTGCTGGAGGAATAGCTGCTACTGATTTTGATGCTTTCATTTGCAACAGTGGCAGCGATCTCTATTACCCATTTTCAGATTCAGAGGACTCGATTAATTCCTCTGATTTACCTTTTGAGCTTGATTTGGATTATCATTCGCAGATTGAGTATAGATGGGGTGGAGAAGGATTAAGAAGGACTTTAGTTCGTTGGGCTGCTTCTATCATTGACAAGAATGGTGCAAATGAGGAACAAGCAGTTGTTGAAGATGAAGATAGGTCTTCTAACTATTGTCACGCATTTAAACTGAAGAACCCTGCACTGGTATTTGTTTCTTGGATGACCATGTCAATAGTAACCATCTCGACAGCTTTAGGCTTTAACTACATGGACTATTTTTTTTCTTCCAGGTTCCTCCTATTAAAGAGCTTCGTAAGTTGATGCGGATTCAGGCACTTCGTTGTCATGCTTTATATAGTTATGATGGAACAAAGCTACACGTGATTCCCATCCTGGCTTCTCGTTCTCAAGCTCTAAGGTACTATATAAATCAGTATGTTTTTTAGGTATGTTGGTTTGAGTCATGCATAAAATTCAATGGGCATTGTGGTTATCCATGAATCATGTTCCCATGTTATAACTTCCTAGACTGCTTTCACATGAAAATTATGGTCATTAACTACTCACAAATTGTATTTGAAAATTTGCTTTGATTTATCATATTGAAAACTCTCTGTTTTATTATAACTATTTGTATCTGTTTCACACATTTTTTCACATTGTCATTAACTTTTTTCTTGTCCTTCTCCAGTGAGGTTTTGCTACAATGCTCCATTAATTACCTCCTGCTAGCTCTTCTCCTCTCCCTTTTTAGTGTTCTGTGGTTGCATGCTTATTTGCAGCAAAATGATAGCATGCTGGGTAGCCTTTTTGAATTTGATTCAAATTGAGATTGATTTACTTTATAGTTCATTATTTTCACAAATATGTCATGAAATAAATGTGGCAAACCTGCCATATAGACTTTGTGCAGATTTACTTAACATTGTGAATATGTGGTGTCTTTTGCTAGTAGCCAAATAGCCCGTCTATTTCCTCCTCTCCTGTCCTTGTTTGGACCTGCTCGTGCATTAGCTTGGGAGAAGGAGAAACACTAAGTAGTGGTTTGAGTATAATTATTGTTGAACTTTAACATATAAGCTAAAAGAAATAAAAAAAATTGCTTAAAAGGACTACCTGTGTCGGACCCACGCTGAAATCCTGACCGAATCCTGTGCAAATCGCCGCAGCCGTGCATTAGCTTGGGAGAAGGAGAAACACTAAGTAGTGGTTTGAGTATAATTATTGTTGAACTTTAACATATAAGCTGAAAGAAAAAAAAAATTGCTTAAAAGGACTACCTGTGTCGGACCCACGCTGAAATCCTGACCGAATCCTGTGCAAATCGCCGCAGCTACAGTACCCATACCCTGCAAACGGCGCCGAAGCAGAGCCGACCACGCGCGATTTCACCTTGATCCCGCCTCTTCCTTCGCCTTTAAAATGCGAACAAAGGCTCCACTATCTGGGTTCCGCACGCGAAAGCTCTTTCCTTCTCCACGCGAACTACTCCCTCCACTGTCTCAACCTCTTTCCTCTCTACTGAAACTCCCTCTCTGTCCCGACCAGAGACCGAAACCGACCACACTTCTGACCAAACCCGGCGCCATCGCCTCCTCCCTCTGAGACCGAACTCCCTTCCTCTTGCTTTGATCCTCTGCCGACTCCCCGCGCAAGCCAGAGAGAGAGAGAGAGAGAGAGAGAGAGAGAGAGAGGAGAAGAGCTCTACTTACCTCTCTTCTTGCTGTTGAAGCCGACATCTCCACCTCCTCTGCCCGTCGCCCCTCTACCCGACCTCCTCTTGCCGAGACCAAACCGACACCTCTTCCACTCTTGCTCTAAGCGCGTCCTCTTACCAATAGCCATGTAGGTATATGGTTTTTTTATTATTATTATTACTACCTTAAATTTTGTATATTAATTAATATTGTTCATATTTTAGTATAGTATGATACTAATTATTTATCGAAAATACTAGTATTTATTCATAAATTACTCGTTGATGAGTAATAAGTAATCAGATGATTTTATAATAATCATAATAGGTTATTAAATTATTATTTATCTTATTAATTAATTTAATTATTCTATATAAATTATATAGTATATTTTAATTAAAATTAAGTTATCAATTTAAATATTTAATTATTGTTATATAAAATTAGTTTTTAATTAAAATAAATTTAATTATTTTTAATGTTATTATATGTTAATTATTTTTATTAAATGTTTTATAATTACTTATATATTAACTTATTTTTAATTCAACATTATTATTAATTATGAATTAAATTGTTTATTATAATTATGTATTTTTAAAAATCTTAATTTAATTATTTACAGTTCAAAAATTAATTTAGATAAGCAATAAGATAAAAAAAAATGAAATACAAATACCTCTCTAGCCTCAGTCTGGCCACGTGGCTAACATGTCAACCCACAGAAGGTATACGAATTTTTTCCAAAGCCTCAGATTCCACGTTTATTGTTGTTTGGGCGAATCGGGAAAACCTGCGCCCATAGGCAGCGCCTTTCATTGCGCATTGTGGGATGGAACCATCCGGTGCGGGCCCATACGACGAGGCGGGATATAATCCAAAAAAAAACTACTCTATATTCGTCGCGGACTGGAAAATCGCTTAACCCATGCACGCCTTTACTGTGCGTGTTGGTGGGTTGGGAACATCCGGTGTGAGCACCACTACGAGCGACGGCGGGGTCAGTCATATACATCTTGAAGCGGGGAAAGAAAAACTGTCTTTTTTTAAACGGGTCGGTAAAAAACTGCTTTTTCAAAAAATGTTTTTAAAATCTTATGCAAAACCTTTATTTGGCGTGGTGGATGAAAAAACATAAATCACCGCCGCGGTGTCTCACAAACACCAACTTACATTCTTTATTGACGTGGCGTGTAGGAGGACCTCTTGGTTTTTCCCCTAAACGGGGGAGACGCGGGAAGGCTGCCGAAATTTTATTTCTGAATAAGACAAGGACTTGAACTATAAAGACTCAAATGCTTGGACTTGAACTCTAACAGAACAACGAAGGACTTGTACTTGGAACTTTTGAACAAAATCTAAGTGACTTGATAAAAAGAATGAACCCAAGTAAAAATGAAAATTGATTGAAACTCAATATCTGAATCAAATTCGGACCACAGTGGATTTTTGACATTACAAATTGAAGTGAACAAGTGAACTTTGACATTGAACTCAAACTTGTGGATATAGAATTTGAGCTTGTCATTTGAACTCACTTGAAACTTGTACTTTGGACATGAATTGAACTCAACTGCACTTGAGCTTGACTTGAACTCGCAAGGTGACAAGAACATGAACTTGAACTTATATTGGACTTGAGTCAAGAACATGATCTTGGACTCAATGACATGAACCACAAGCATTACACTCAACACTTGGGTGAGCATGAGCTCTAAGAACTTGAACAAGTGCAAATGGACTTAAATAATTAAAAGAACTTTGATTCGACCTGAAGGAGTTTATGAGCTTGATTTAGGGTGAAAGAGTTCATTGAAAGCCAAAATTCATAGAGAATTGAATTCTATAAGCAATTAATATGTCTTAATCATGCAAAGAATAAGGAGCAATGAAGCAATAAAGAATTTACTTTAAAATCTCATTGAACATGAGTGGCTCATGAGCAAATGAGAGATTCACAAAGGATCATTATACGAGCATCGATGAGAAAAATCAACACTCAAGATACAATCAACTCTCAAAGACAATGGAAGACCTTCAGTATACATATAAATAAAAGGATATCCATATTAACCACATTGGTGGGTCCATGAATTTGCAAAGAGGAGTTGGGTGATTCTAATGGAATAGACCCCTAGTGAACATGATCATCTCAAGTAGGGTAAAGGAATGATATCAAGTTTATCATGCATATGGAAAACCACCTTCAAGGATAAAGAATTTGCAAGGGGAGTCTATTTGCAAGCAAAAGATGGAGCCCTCGATGTGTACTATAACTTACCCCTGAATATATAGTGACTGATGTTTCCTTTGCCAATCAACTTATGGGCATAAATAGATGAGTGCAATAAAGCTACGATACCTCTATATCAATATAAATGTTCAAGGTTAAGCGAACACTTTGATTCACTGTAAGTGGAGACGAAAAATATACAGCGGATGTAAGCTCCTACGAACTATTATAGGGGATTTGTTACACATTGAATGCATCATCCCCAACCAAAATGTTATATGGCCACATCAAGTATAAATGACAACAAGTCACTGTGAGAAATTCGTGATGCATAAAACAGACCATTTACAAGCATCTACAAGCATGAAGGAGGACATTCGTTAGTGCACTATGATTCACTTGCAGAAAACAATAAATAGTGCACGACAGTCTACCTGTACAAGGCAGCAAATAACTCAATTCAGAAGCTGCTAGAAGACGCCACTAGATCTGCAATACTTATACAAGCAGACAGAAGGCGTCTACAAGAATGTTGCATTCAAATGGCAGCTTCCCGTATAATTAAAATATTGTAAAGTAACCCCTGCACATGCACCGTAATATGTATGCACATAGGTACACCAAGGGGTAAATGCAATCATATTACCCCTCATGGGCCCCTGCGAGCGTGTTATTGGTACACACGTGACGTCTAGGGATGCTGCGCGGGTTATTAAATTCGAAACTGATCCTCCTAAGTAGGTAAAAAGGAGTAGACAGGGTATAATTATAAAATGCCCCCAAACACCCGCATGGGTCCCAAAGAGCGTGTTATTGGTACACACGTGATGTTTATAGATACTGCGCGGGTTGATAAGTGAATTCAAGTTCGAATCCGATCCTTCTATACGAATCAATCGGAGTTGACAAGGTTTGAACCATTAAATAAATATAAGGTTACAATGACCAATATATTTATTTTAATATATTCGTATTAGGCCTTCAAGGCCTATAATCGAAAGAATTCACTAACCAAGGCATGAAGCCTACGAAACCCGATCCCCTATCAACTTGTTGATTGGGCCGACAAGGTTCAAGCTTTAGATGGAAATAACCCTAAACACCCCGATGATGGCCGTGTTGAATTTCTATCTTAACCGGAGAGGTTCACAAATATTTTCAAAAGTCCATTCAAAACCCATGAATCCAAAAAAACACCAAAAAATCTAAAAATATTTAAAATTGAAATAAATCCATCAACACTTAAAGAAAAATCCATCCACCCTCCGCAACAGTTTGCCGAGGTGAACAAATTAAATTTTACTTCAGCTCACAAAGAGCCAAATACTCAGTCGAAAATATCACTAGGATCCATTCTCAAACAATCTCCTGCCAATAGGGATGTGGTACGTGTCCTCTAACCGGCGGTTTTGCTGCCAAATGGCACCGCAGGATAAACGGTTATGACCTGGGGCCCTTTGAATCGAGTGATTTTGCCGCCAAATGGCA